AAATTCTGATATTAGCCAATCTTCGATTTGCAGCGCATGATATTCTTTTGATGTCGGCTTCCGGGGACAGGTTGGGCTTAATATTAACACTCAAATCTTTTTCTGCATCCAATTCCAGTAGGATTTCCTCTTCCTTGTGATACTTTGTGTCTGGTCTCCGATTCCCAGTAACTAGCGTCACTACTTTGCATTTGTTCGAGTTGAACTCTAGTAGCCACTTGAGAAACCATATTTTGATTTTATTCAGGTTCTCTTATAGTTTCATTATTATTATTATTAACATCTTTATTGACAAAATAAATTACAATTTTGCCTAATCTGTTTCATGCAATCTTCCATTGTATTTATCCTTATCATAATTGCATTATCAGCAAACTTTGAGTGGAAGAAATCTATTCCCCTCAGGTAGATCGTTGCCACAGATTAGGAATACGATCGGGCCCAGAACTGACCCTTGTGGAACTCCACTTTTAATATTCCGCCTCTCCAAGGAGTCTCCTCTCAATGAGACTTTTTGTTTCATGTTGCAGAAGTACTCTTTCATCCACTGGAGTACTTTCCCTGTCACTCCTGCCTGTTTCTCCATCTTGTTCACTAGCCAACTGTGGGCACTGTGTCGAAGGCTTTCTGGCAAAGTAAATGGAATACGCCCGCCGTTTTCCATCTTGTCTGACTTCAGTCGGCGGTTCATAGAATTAGTCAGTCACGAGTGTACATCAAGCTCCAGGCAGCCACATATCACAGGGGGAGACTTCTCTATACTGTAAATGTTTATTCGTCGTTATAATTATTAGGTTCCCCATTAACCTTAAAATAATTATGAATAATCTCAACTGGAGCTTCCTAATGACAGTGGAATATATAGCCTCTTGATAACTCCAGTGTGAAGGTAATTGTCAGGAGAAAACACTGATAATGATCTATGTCTCTTAAAGAGAGTGTCAGTCTGTCTGTCTGTCTGTCTGTCTGTCTGTCTGTCTGTCTGTCTGTCTGTCTGTCTGTCTGTCTGTCTGTCTGTCTGTCAGTCTGTCTGTCTGTCTGTCTGTCCAAGGAGGGAGACCAGATGCTTGAGGCTAGCCTCTCCCAACTTTCCAAGATGATACATCGGTGGAATTAGAGAGTCACAGGCTGGTCGGGGTCGGACCCATTGCCTCTCCTTAAGAAATATCGCCCCCCCCCCCTCCCCTAACCATTCCCCCTCTATGCGATTTTGATGCTTGGGAGTACCCAGTGTGCAGGTTCGAATCCTCCTCATGGCTCCTACTGATTTTATCGTTGATACATCATATTAATGTGATTTCTTTGTGCATTATTATTATTATTATTATTATTATTATTATTATTATTATTATTATTATTATTATTATTTTCTATATTTCATTAGGTTTGAAATATTTTTTTATATTCTGAGCCCTTCTTAAACAATTATATAGTGTCACATTTATATATTCTGATTAATTCTAAAGCCAAATTACATTTAAATGTTACTCGAAGGAGACTAGCGAGACGAATTTAATATCCCTGAGAGTGTCTTAGTTACCATTAATAACTTCTTGGTGACACTGAAATGTGGGTGTCTGCTCTGGACCAGCAAAGGTTAGAGGCCCATGTACCCGGGATGGTAAGCCGGGTGGTTTGTGGGTGGGTGAGTGGTTGGGTGGGTGAGTGGTTGGGTGGGTGAGTGGTTGGGTGGGTGGTTTGTGGGAGGGTAAGAGAGTTTGTGTGTGGATGGCTTGCAGGTTGATGAGTTATTTGTGTGTGGTGTATCAGTGGGTGGGTGGTTTGTGCGTTGTGTGTGCACACTCATACACAGGGGCCTCACGGCTGAGTGCACAGCGTTCGCGGGGTCGTAGGCCTAAGGGTCCAGGTTCGATTCCCGGTCGAGGCGGAAACAAATGCGATGAGTTTCTTTCACCTTTATGTCCCAATTCACCTAACAGTAAATAGGTACCTGAGAGACAGACAGCTGCTACGGGCTGCTTCTTGGGTGTGTGTGTGTGTGTGTGTGTGTGTGTGTGTGTGTGTGTGTGTGTGTGTGTGTGTGTGTGTGTGTGTGTGTGTGTGTGTGTGTGTGTGTGTGTGTGTGTGTGTGTGTGTGTGTGTGTGTGTGTGTGTGTGTGTGTGTGTCAGCTACCACGGGTCTGGTAGCTGAGCGGTCAGCGCAGGACTCGTAATTCTGTGGCCAGGATTCGATTCCCGGACCAGACAGAAACAAATGGGCAAAGTTTCTCAACTAGATGAAAACACACACACACACAAACACTGTTCTTAAGAAACTGCTCATGACTTTTGTGAGACCAAAATTTGAATATGCAGCAGTTGTATGGTGTCCAAATCTTAAGAAGAACATAAATAAACTGGAAAAGATTGAACAGCATACTACAAAATGGCTTCTGGAACTGAAAAACTAGAGTTAGAGGCATTAAACATGTTAAAACGAGAAAATAGAAGGTGATATGATCACTACTTACAAAATACTAACAGGAATAGACAAAACTGACAAAGAGGAATTCCTGAAACAAGCAACTTCACCAACAAGAGGACTCAGATTGAAGCTAAAGAAACAAAGGTGCCGAAAAAATATTAGACAGAATTATTTTGCAAACAGAGTGGTAAAGACGGTTGGAAAGAGCTAAGTGAGAAGGTGGTGGAGGCTCTAAACCGTCAGTAGTTTCGATGCGTTATACGACAAAGAGTTCTGGGAAAACGGGACACCACGAGCGTAGCTCTCATCCTGTAACTACACTTAGGTAATTACACACACACACACACACACACACACACACACACACACACACACACACACACACACACACACACACACACACACACACACACACACCTGGTAGCCTGGTGGATAGCGCGCAGGGCTCGTAATTCTGTGGCGCGGGTTCGATTCCCGCACCAGGCAGAAACAAATGGGCAAAGTTTCTTTCACCCTGAATGCCCCTGTTACCTAGCAGTAAATAGGTACCTTGGAGTTAGTCAGCTGTCACGGGCTGCTTCCTGGTGTGTGTGTGTGTGTGTGGTGTGGAGAAAAAAAAGTAGTTAGTAAACAGTTGATTGACAGTTGAGAGGCGGGCCGAAAGAGCAAAGCTCAACCCCCGCAAACACAACTAGGTGAATACAACTAGGTGAATGCACACATTAGTAGGAGGCAGCCCGCAATAGTTGACCAACTCCCAGGTACCTATTTACTGTTAGGTGAATAAAGGAATTAGTTGAAAAAAGCTTTGTCCATTTGTTTCCGCCTCGGCCGGGTATCGAAAGCTATCCTTTCAGTGGTTTGTGCGTGTATATAGTATATAGGAAGTATATTTCCTGTACCCGACAAGCATCGAAGCAACGTATGGTATGCTCGACCAAGATACTATATGTTATAGACTTCAAATACTCAAAAAAACTCCATCAATGCAAATGGCAAGTGGAAGGAGCCATCATAATTTACCTGAATTTTCCTGATGGCCGCCATCTATCTAGTGGCTTCGGTGAGGACAGGAAGCCGGCAGTTTGTCAAAGGTCTCCTAATTTTTCAGGTGATTTTTTCAAGCTGTATTTTGAAGTGCAACAATGTCTTGTTACTTACGGCTTCGGCAGGTAGGCGGATCCACGAGTTCCTCCAGGTGAAAATGGTCCGAGCCTGTTTTCTGTCTCACATTGTGGCGCGTTGAGTTTGAAGCTGTTGAAGCTTCCCAAGTTGACTTGTGAAGTTACTTATATTTATATATACCCCCGGTACCTATATTTTACTGATAGGTGAACAGGGGCATTAGGTGAAAGGAAACATGCCCAACCATTTCTATCCAGCCTGGAATTCGAACCCGGGTTTCCCAATTGTGAGTCGAGGACAAATCCAACTATACTTGTTCAGTATTATAACAGTTTTGACGAAATCAGTTCTCCCATTTCTGGTTTGCAGTTTAGTTAGTTCTGTGGTTTTTCCTCACCCGATGAACAAATCCACAAGGGCCGTGACGAGGATTCGAACCTGCGTCCGAGAGCATCCCAGACGCTGCCTTAAACGGGAGTTTTTCCTCGCCCGATCCTGGTATGAGAGTCGACTTTGGCCTCTTCATTTCATTTTTCATTTCATGAAAAAAAATCATTTTTCATTTCAAGTTTTCATTTTCATTTTTCTTCATTTTTCATTTCAAGTCCTGAATGATTTTGTCGCTCTGTGTTATACCTTCTCCAATGCAGATTTAAATCCTTCTTAAATCCTTCTGTAGATGAGGTCTCCATGCAGGCCGGCGTTTCTCTTGCTTGTCCACGACATACAAAATACAAAGGACTAACCTGACCAGAAACGTACGACCCCATACAACCCACCAAACCTAACCTATTAATAATAGAAAGCGTGCCTTTTTTGTGATAGTAGTATCATAGTACGTTGGAATTTTTTTCGTTAGGGACCAATGCGTGTAAAATGAAACGTATTATAATTGAGAGGATGCATGTAATAAGCGGGTCATGAATGATCATTATGCTAATGAACATGTGGAATAATTATGCATGTGTTGTGTAATTATCTTCGTAAGATAATTATAATTGGGATAATTAATTATAATAATTGACTGATAATTGATGATAATAATTATGCTGATGACAGCTACTAAAAATTTTCAGTGTGAAATATAAGCTAGCCTAGAACAACAAGTAAACCCCAATGAATGAATAATGATATCTTATAACTGTTAATAACTGATTAGATTCTAGATACATATTTTTTTATCGCTCATCAATTTACGAGAGAAGTGTAGCAAGTGAGTGTAAAGATTAACTGACGAAGATTAAGCCACACAAGTGGTGGCACGGACATGGGTAGCCCGTAAGAGGGTAGATATTCAAAGTGAATATGATATTTGGTCGTGAAATCTCGAAGGACGTGAAAAGAAGAGAGTCACACGTGTTTTAAAGGTGGCGGGCGTGGTGAGGCATGATGGTCTGGCAGAAGACGCGGCCAGAAGACGCGGCCGGCCGACCAATGGGAGGGCGGGGCGGCCGGCGGCGGCAGTCAGCCACCCAGCCACACCACGCACGGGTCTACACTCCACACCTCCCTCCTGCCCGACCCACTCACTCCGCCTCCTCCTCACACACGCCAGGTGAATTTTCCATTTGGGGTTGAGCCCTAGGGTGTAGGGAGTGTAGCTGGGGCGGGTGTGTGTGTGGCTGTAGACGCTGTTGGGGGCTAGAGCGTGTTGGTTGGCGCGTCGTCTGCACACACACACATTTATATATATATATATACACTTTAAGGAAGGAAGGATCTCACAGGCGTAGCGTAGAGCCCAGGGGCACTGCCAAATAATATTTTTTTAATTTTATTTTGGTTAAGCCACTTTATGCTTGCTTATTGGTTTGCCTATTGTATATTTTTTTTGGTATATTTGTGTATTAATAATTAGTTGTAAGTCTTGGTACGTCTGGTGTTGCACGTGTTTGTACTCCCTGGTGATTGATTAGGCAAGTAGCGGCAGTACATTCCTGTGAGCGTTGTTCTTCCTGCCAGGAACTACAGGTAACTTGGAGGTGTCACGGGTTCCCCCACACACGCCCCGTAGGTACACCAGTGGTGAACTTAACTACGTCCTTTGTTGGCTAAATACGTTTTAGACATGTATGCGAAATCATCGGCATTTGGTCAAACTGGATTGTCTTCAGTTTGTCAATGTCAAATGGTAGTTAGCGCCACCAATTGGCACACTTATGACTGACACTATTACTGCACTACCGTGCTAAGTTATAGTTACAGTTCATGTTTGCTGGAGATATTTGCTTTCGATAGATTCATGACCGCAAAGCTACAGTAAGGGGGTGTAAAAAAAAGTTATATATTCCAAGAGGTAACCCCCCCCCCTCCTGGGGGGTGGGGAGGAGATATTCAAGATTTGGTTAGATTGTATAAAATGTTAACATGTGGCCTACTGGCAAATTTCAAGTTTAAAAACTGGCCAGCAAGCTGGTAAATCAATAATGTTAGCATTTGTTAGTGAAGGTAGTAGTATTGGATAATATTAGCCTTCTTAAATCACGTCTAACCCAGCACATTTAATAGGCAATATATTTCATTAGCTTCAATTTTTCCAGAGTTGTAAATTGAGCTGGCATCTTGGCTCGTGTAAGAGCTGTCAAGGAATGTCTAGACAATTGGAAATTTAAAGATGACAAACTGAAACTTCACAATTGTTTGATTAGATTAAAAGATTAAAGAATTTAATCAAAGATTAAAAAATTTCCTCTTGTGTTAACTTAGATGCTCCTGTAGTTAGGGGGGGGGGGAGTAATATTACATGTAAATGGGATTTTAAGTTTTATATATTTGTGCATATTATTCAAAAGCATAGTTGTGTATATAAATGCATATACAGTATTACACACAATACTTGCCAAATGTAACATACCTTAATTATATGTAAAAGTGGTTTGACAAACCAGCAATGGCCAATTAGTCTCCGTGGTGTAGTGGTAAGACACTCGCCTGGCGTTCCGCGAGCGCTATGTAATGGGTTCGTATCTGGCCGGGGAGGAGTTACTGGGCGCAATTCCTTAACTGTAGCCTCTGTTTAACGCAACAGTAAAATGTGTACTTGGATGAAAAAATTCTTCGCGGCAGGGGATCGTATTCCAGGGACCTGCCCGAAACGCTACGTGTACTAGTGGCTGTACAAGAATGTAACTCTTGTATATATCTCAAAAAAAAATTGGCACTGTTGCATGGGTGCGATTTGATTTTTCCAGAAACTTGGCAACATTTACCCATTTTGAATATTTCAGGATTTGGGGGCCTGACAGCTGAGTGGACAGCGCTTCGTTATCATAGTCCTGAGGTTACGGGTTCAATCCCCAGTGGAGGCGGAAACAAGTGGGCAGAGTTTTTCACCCTAATGCCCCTGTTACCTATCAGTGAATAGGTACCTGGGAGTTACAGCTGCTATGGGCTGCTTCCTGGGGATGTGTAACAAGTCCTGGTCGAGGACCGGGCCGTGGGGACGTTAAACCCTGAAATCATCTCAAGATAACCTGAGTCAACATTCATGAGTCACATAAACAGGGGTCATGTATCTTTAGCAAAGCCTTAATAACTTTAAAAACTTTGTTCTATTTGAAATTAGACCTGATCTCGGAAGTATAAAAAGTCTTGACATGTATTTAATGGACTCCCTGCAGTTAAATTTAAAAAGTTGTGTGGTGTCATGATCCACAACCTACATCTTCTGCAGCAAGTGAGGGAAAGGGTGGTAATCAAATTCAATGCCACCCTTGTTATAAATATCTAAAGCATTTACTTTCAATAGTTAAGTTGAATTTGCTGATTTCTGGGCTGGCCTTGATTAGTTGCTTGATGCTGCCCAGTAATCTAACCTTCAGAGGCAAAATTAAAGAATTGGCTGCTCAATGCATTGTTGGCTATTACAAATGGCTACTAGCCCTCTGAACTTGTACAGACCCACTAAACACTAGGACCAGAATCTGGCATGCCAAAAGAGGCAAGAGGAACAGATATGAGGGATAATCCTCAAAATGGTAAAACTGCCCTGAGAATACTGTACTAGCAAAACAAAAGTTTGAGAAGCTTCTTACGTTTTCCCTCAAAGTAGTGTTCATTTTAATTTGAATGCCATTAATTATGAATTCATCATGTATCAGTTAGTGAACAAAAGTTGACAACTTGGGTAACTTAAGGGTTCAATCTGTCTGCTTATCTACCTTGCAACATCAACTAGTGCCCTATTTTCGCCCGGTTTATCTTCTAAGCAGTTAGTGTCCTTTCTTGGGTTTTAGATTTAATTCTGTTGCACTACTCTATTCCTGGAGAACTTGCCGAGGTTGAGATTCTGCCTCACTCGCCTGCATCTGGTGCAATTTTATTTGCCTTGCTTGTTGGTTTGTGATGGCAGCTTCACCTTTTCCTGAGGTGTTGCTTGAATGTGCAAAATTATTTGTTGGCCATCAGTGCTGTCTGAGCCACCCTCAGGGTGGTGAGGCTGCTTGTACACTGTACACTCCATACACATGCCTTAAAATAGCAGATGTGCAGTCTTAAATTGTGAAAAGTGCTGTGGGCAATGCAACACTTTTCTACGAAGGGGATTTTGAGGCTTTGGTTATCTAGATTTGTGCTGAATTTGGACTTGTTTTACCTAGTGTTACGAGCCTTATGTTTGTTTACTTATATATGCAAGTTCTTACCTTGTACAGCCACTAGCACGCATAGTGTTTCAGGCAAGTCCTTAATCCTCATATTCCGTGGAATACAACCCGCCAAATCATTAAACCAGGTACCCATTCACTGCTGGATGAACAGAGGTTACAGTTAAAGATTTGCACCCAATAAATCCTCCCCGGCCAGGATACGAACCCAGGCCATAGCGCTAACAAAACACTGGACCAGTATTACCACTTTGCGACGGGGTGGGGACTGCAAGTTAGCCCAGTCTTCTCTCCCCCTCCCAGTCTTCTCTTTACTACTCGGGTAGTAAACATGACCACAGTCGTAAAGCTGTGTAAATTAAGGATGTTATACATAAGTAATATTTTGATAAGCTCTGCATATTTAAGCAAGCCAGCAGTGACTTGCAATGAATTCAAAATTTAATATAGTACGGGTAATGTCGGTTTTTAATTGCTAATGTTAAATATATTGCGGAATTGACAATTGGTGAAACAAAATGCCCTATAATATTTTTCGCTTTATTGGTGAAGCTAAGGAAAGACCCAGTATGTGTAAGTGTGTTATTAGACCAAATAATTTTTGGGATGAAACCTACATTAACAGAACCTTGATAATGGATGTAGGATTTGTCTAAAAATTTTAACTGTAGTTACACATGTACTGGGGGTACACATGTACATGTCCAGTTCATTCTTTCCTTCACGTTCATTCACACTACAGTATTGTAGCAAGTTTCTCCATTCTTTGATTTTGCACAAAATAATGTACAGTATACATATATTTATATGAAATATTAAATTATCCTTCCACACCAATCAAATGAGTGCTGCCAGGGGTCGCCATGATTCTTCATTTACACCGCTTCATCTGCATGATGCTGGTAAAAATAACTTTAAAATATTTTATTTTTAATTTGATGCATGCAAGATTTTCCAGACTTTCAAATATATTTGACGTGTTAAATAAGGGTCAATGGCAAATTCCTAAATGTAGATTCATCCCAAGACTTCACGAAGATAACCATATACTGCACAATACAGTACTGTAGATGTATGAAGTAAAAAAAAAAAAAAATCTGCAATTATTAAAACTTTTCATGTGAAATATCCACATTGTGCAAAATATCCAGTTATGCAACTTAAATGTGATTTTGTACATGTATGTACAGTATTACAATTCTTAACATTTCAGACATTGGTCAATTTTGTTCTTTTACTATTTTGGGTGGGGTAAGATGACCAAATGTTTGTTTGGTTTAGTGGTATTGCACTAACTTACTAATTTATTCACATTAGTAGTATTTCAATAATCTAGGTTTATTAAATTTAGTATGCTTTTCTTATGATTTTTGCTTTGTTCTATGGATGTGTTGGCTCCTTGAAGATGTCACTGTATTACAGTAACTCATTAATTAAAGAAAGGCTAATGCAATCCATTGCAAATTTATTACAAGCTAACTAAATACTCAGAAAATAATAGCTACACCTTAAGTATTGGTTCAGTATAAAAAATATACTTTATATAAATGATAACCATAGGTTTTTGGTAAGCAGTTTCATTGCATAAGCAAAATGAGGTGAACTTTAAATTTTGTTTAAGCCATTGACCCTGTATGTCACACTGTGCTAATGTAGTGCTCTCCAGATGGTACACAAATGCTACATAGTGATCCCAAATGATTTACTCTAAAAATGCCTCAATACAGAGTAATTGATTTAAAATGTTTTAAGTCTTTGTGCAAATTAAACATTTGCTTGTTATTAAATCTTGAAATTAAAAAAAATGGCATTAGGTCTGCTACCTTGTCCAGTGTCCAATGAAAATGTCTGAAGTGGATAAAAAATAAAAGGCCAGTAATTGTGCTACAGTATTGGATTTTGTTGGACTATAAATATATTTTTTTAGCAGCTAACTCATTCTATAATTTATCTATTATTGAGACTCCTAAATTCTGCTAGTTTAAGAGGCCAATCCACCTTGAACAAATAGTATCTACTTGTTTAAAAAAAAAAAAACTTGCCAGTTAGCTGTAAAGCCTGTAGTGATATTAATGAGCAGTGCAGAATTATTTTAATTTCATAGCATTTACATCTTAATAACTTGCTTGCATTGGGTTCACTTGCAGCATTGTAGAGAGCGATTAGGGTAGATGTAGATGTTCTGCTGCCCGTCGCTACTAGCAAGGTAGGGCAGGTGTCGCATGGACCGGTTACCTCAAGCCCTCGTGTCTCCTCTTAGTCTGATTAACTGTAGTATATTTGAAAAGTTCTAACTGGATATTTTTTTCAGCAGCTTTGTCCCATTTTGGCAAGTGTGTACCCAAGTTTAAGTTAACTGTGGGTCTGGCTTGATTAACAATTTATTGTTGGGGGCCATGTTTGGACATTTTAGTAATGTTTGTTTTGCACAGAACACAAAGATTAAACCTTACTGGAATGGTACTGGCAGCATTTTAGTATGCTGTAAGAATTAATGGCAATCTTGCCCAGAAATTGTGAACGGATGTCAATTTGTTTATACATGTAGTGTACCCGTTTTGTCTCCCCCCCCCCCCCCCCGTCTTTCCACCCCCATTTCACTCTTCTTGTCTCCCCTCTGTTCCCCACCCCCTCCCTCCTTGAAGCCTATCTTTTTATTTATTTATTTTGACTGCCTGTTTTTGAGCTACCACTGAAAATACAGATCGGTTCACTATTGATAGAGATCAGTAGTAAGCTTTTTAACAAAATGACCCTTACCCGATTTACTGCTTTTATTTTATTTTTAGAACTAGTGTCCTCCCATACTGCTTTTTAATGATTTATATTAACAGTTTGGGGAAGTCTGCACAAAGTATTGTCACAAGATAGTCTAATCTAGACCATGGCTTCAGTGCTGTTTGTAGTCCCCCTTAGATCATGTTTGAGTAGATTGCAGTAGTATTAAAGCTACTGTGAATGGTACAACAGTGACTCCTTGACTTCATAAAATGCTGTAATACTGTAAGTTTTCATATAACTCATCATAGTATAACTTGATGCCCCACTGAGCCTGCCTTTTAATTAAATTGTATTTTAAAAAGTCCTAGAAAATACATAGTCATGTATTTAAGAGCATTTCATTGGTGTAAGCTTGCATTCAAATATCCTACAACACAGGTTTCTTGCCCTCTTTAAGAAAGGTAGCTTATAGATTATTTTAGAAGCTCTATGTAAATTCTTCGTTCACAGGATGTCGTCGGACCGCAAAGCCGTGGTAAAGAATGCCGACATGTCGGAGGAAATGCAGCAAGATGCCGTTGACTGTGCCACTCAGGCTATTGAAAAATTCAACATTGAGAAGGTGTGCATTCATAATTTTAGTTGATTAAGAATTATAAATTTATTTATCTAGAGTAGAAGTAAAATATAAAGGGGCTTATAATGAATTTGATATTTAGTGGTTTTTAAATAGGAGTGAAGTACTTATGCTGGTTATAGAAATCCCAGTCACACAGTTAAGGGAAGAAAACATGCCAAATAATGTGGGTATATTTTGTATTTATGCTTGGTGTTCTTGCTACCCCTGATACAGTATGCCAAAGAAGTTAAATTGTTATAGTAAAAACCTGCAAGAATTTAGCATACCAAAATATTTGTGTGTACTGTGACTGTAGTGGCCTGGTTGAGTTGTATAAAATGGTGTGAAATTAACATTCGGTACCTTGCAAATCATGGGATGCCAATTTTTTTAAATTTTGCATAGTGATGTATAGGTTAAATGTACATCTGGCATGCTGTTAGTGTACTGTACATTGTGCACATTCCCAGTGTTTGTGCATTTTATTATTTACATATCGCTTGTTTGATCAACTTGTATGAAGATGAAACTTAACCCTGTTCATGGTGAATTTCATTTAACACCACATTCCTTGCATCACGTTAGGACAAGTTTTATCTTCCTGTTCCATGTGCTGTGAGTGATACTCTGATCTTGAATTCTTTTTGGGGGTGTCTTGTCCACTGTCTTGACCGATGTCGCCTCCCCTCGCATCTCAAACGTGTGAGCATTTCGGCTATTTTCCGTGGCTGTGTCTTACTGCGGCTTTAGAAACTATCTACGCTTACTCCACGATGGATAGTGATCATGAACAAGGCCCTTCCAGGAAGAAAATTGCAAAAGAAAGGCTTGAAAAGGGCAGGAATTGGGAGTGTAGCTGGAAGGCGTCTGAGCCCTCACTCCGGCTAACGCGTGGCCCGTCTTTAACTCGTCGGCGATTGGAGCGTGACCAGGTTTTTTATTTTATATGCTAATGTTCCTCTAGAGAATTCTATTGCGAACCCATTGAGACCAAAATGAAAGACCTAGGACGAAAATTGAGGTGACCAGAGTGAAAATAGTGAAAACATTTTATCGCGTTTGCGCGCTCCTGGGTAACTTGTTCGCCCTTTGTTTGCTGCAGGTAATTAGCCGGGCTTTTGGAGTTTATATGCATTTAGTGCTGTAGAGAATTCTATTGAGGACACAATGATACCAAATTTAATCTCGTAGGACGAGAATTAAGGTGACAAAGTTGGAGAGTATACACTTTTCAGAATTTACGCGCTCCCGTGACACCCTGGGACCCAAATCGCACAGTTGAGGGGTGGCGCGCGGGGTATGCCAGAGTGTTAAACACCTTTGCAAGATATGATGACCAAACCACACAAGGTGGAAAAGACATCATTTCTGTCCGTCCTGGACCATTATCTAGAGCCTAGCTTATATTATCAACCACTGGCTGGATTGAATTCTGAATAGAATATCATTTAAATAGGATTAGTAATTGTTAATGAGAATACCTTAGCTAGTTAGGGGTCTGGGTGTGGTTCTGGGCCTGTGACCAGAGCCTGTGAATTCACTAGTCACGTGACTGTGATTGGTGGGAATTTCACCTATTGTGGTCTGTGAATGCTCAAACAGCATCTAACGGAAGTTTTCTGTGTGATGGATGCTTATTGAGATGGTCCTCTTGCACTTTCGAGAGAAGTGTTAATTAATTGCTATTGGTTCAGGATGTCATGGCTTATGTATTTAGATACAGGCTATGAATATTGAAACTGATTCTTATAAAACTATTCAGGTTTTCAATTAAGTGCTATCCAAAGGGAATTTCAGGGGCTTATTTGGTCACTGTGTGGCTTAGAGGTGACTTGGCATCCATCTAAGTAAGGTTTAACCCCTGGGTGGCGCTGCTACTAATAGCCAACAAAAATTTTAATTTTATGGATTTAAAGGATGCTAAGTGATAAAAATAGTATTGTATTTAAGTATTGTTTTTAACACTTTAACATGCCCTAAATTCTAAGGTTAGATATGAAATAGAAATAATCTGATGCAGTTAGAGTAAATGTTCCCAGATTAAAGTTGTATTATGGCAAAATTTGATTTTGTCTAGGCTTGTTGGTCTACCTAAGCAATTTTAGCATCTTGTCAGTTTCTAAAGTGGTTTTAATAAAATATAATCTATTAAAAATAGTATGAATGTTAGATTTTTATACTTGTAGTTATCTTGTATCCTGGAGTAATGTGTTTTTTTTTTTGTATTTCAGGACATTGCTGCATATATCAAGAAGGAATTTGACAAGAAATATAATCCCACATGGCATTGCATTGTTGGTCGCAATTTTGGCAGCTATGTAACGCATGAGACAAAACACTTCATTTATTTTTACCTGGGACAAGTTGCCATTCTTCTCTTTAAGAGTGGTTAAGATGATCAGACCTCTCCTACCCCGTATCAAAGCCAGGGATATTCACCTTGTTAGATGTGCATTTCTGGAACAGGTGAATATCCCATTTCCTTCCTAATCTAATACTTTTCCTCTAACCCATAGGGGGATGAAGGGATATAGACCACCGTTTCCTAGGGTTGCTGATTTTGTGCAGTGCTGCTAGGTTGCTAGCTGGAGAACAAAGTTCTCTTTTACACCAAAGCACACATTTTGTTGCAATGCTAAGCAAATGTTAGCAATGTCTCAAAGGAAGACTATCGTTTGCTTTCAGAGCGCCATACCTGGCAGCACTTTGCTTTTTGAACTGGTCATGGCACATAATTTTTACATTTCCAGTTATTTTCGGTGTACCTCTTGACAAAAGCTAAAAGCTTTTAAATTGCTACAAAAATAACATCAAAGATGGTGTACAGAGTCGCCTGATGGGCTGCATTGGCAGCTGACCAGTGTGAGTGAAATATTTATTTAATATTTGTAATTTACTGTGCACAACTCTCATCCTCAATATTCATAAATTGACCTCTTATCTCCTAAGTAGGTAGGATTCATTCCCCCAATCCATTGTCATGCATCTTGATTAATTGTCTGGTGTCAGTCCATTTTGGTGCAAAATGTAGGAAGTTGATGCATAATCCTGCCTATACTGAAGCAAGTTGTGTACTTAAAAATCTATTTGCTTGTGATTGTAATCTTTAGCTAGTAGCTCCATCTCCATTCATCTTAAAATGACATACTAATTATTCTCTTGATCATTACTGCTGTTGGTTTTTCAGCTTTCATATCCAATGGTAGAATTCTTAACCATCTCTCAAGAAATGTGAATCTCGAGCATCCCCATTCATAAACCCGGCAGTTATGCCAAGATATTGAGTCGCATTTGAGGGATGGTGTACATAAAGTTGTATATTTCATCCTTTATGGCATCTTGTTTCAGCCCACCTACCTTCCTTGTTAAAAGGTGCATTATGTATCAATTTGGACAGCAGCTTTGCACTAGTTCACATTTTAGCTGCTCAATAACAAGTTTTGTGCCTCTGAATTAACAGTAATATTCAGATTGTTTAGTTTTGAAGAATCATTTAATGTTTTTATTGATATGAAAAGTTTATTTTCACTATTAAAATGCAGAACAAAGGATTTTTTGTTCATGAAAAAGTTTATTTCGTCATGTCAAAACTGTGTTCTGTGATGTTCATCAAAGTAAATACAATCTATTTATGTGTAGTGATATATTTTTTATCCTAGATATATTTGGCATTTGATTCCTTCTGGCTGCAAAAATCTAATTTGCCCGATTTGTACCATTTGATATGCAATTAGTTGCCCCAGATAGTTTATTAGCATCTTAGCCATGTGTAGTGTCTGGCTGTGAATTGCCATTTTGTAACAAGTTATAATATAATTGCAACAAGCTGTGGTTGGGAGTAATCCTGTTGGCAATTTCTTGATCCAAAAGATTCAAGTCTATTCCATGAAGTAGTGATTATATGTTCATTGTGTGCATGTTTCAGCAACTTTAATTTTTCTTGAAATGATATTTCTGCATTTGAGCACATTGAACACAAAGTACAGTACATCACAACACTTAAAATATGTATATGTACTGTATAGTGAAAAGGTTGAACATTGAAGTTCAGTTATAAACATTAGAATGCTGTATGGAGGTGTTAACTTGATCGGTTGGATTCCTTGTTTGTGTGTAATTTGTTAGTTGTTCCGTAGGTAATCTAGGAAATTGTAAATGTAAAAGTGGAAATTAATGAAAGTTTAGTTTTTTACGTTCTTTACCCTTCCCCTCCACTTTAAGGAAAGGTGAAAACCTAGTGAATAATTGCCAAGAAATTCTGCCGCAAATTTTGCATGTATTAACATGTTTGATCACATTATTTAGGTTGTGGTTATGCAAATTTTAATAATGTCCTGCTTTTGTAATTACTAATTACTGTGAATTAAATCGTGTACTAGGGGCTTGTAATTATCTTGGCAATTTTGCCTTTATCACAAAGATTTTAACTTGTGCCTGGGTGGCCATGTTAAGTTTCATCAGACAGAATTGGAGCAAAGAAGTCCGAGCCTGTGCCAGGAAAAAGTTTACATGAAGCAAGCATACATATATTGTAGGTCTATATACGATACTTATCCACTTTATCAATAATGTGTACATAGTTATTTGTTTACACTACAGTGTTGAATAAATGAAACAAAATCTGATGAACAAGTCTACTTGCCAGTACCAGTCTGTGAACTTTGCATTTACATTTGGAAAGATGTAGATTGTGCCACCCAGCTACCTTAAATGGCTCGCCAAATTTATTTTCTAAGGTCCAGTGTTGATCATGGTTTTTGTTTTCCTTCCTTCTCTTGTAGGCAATTGTCTTAACTCCCCTCTGGGATTTTCTTGGCTCTGTTGACAATCTTACCCTCTGCTGTTGGGGGTGATGACTCGCCTTTCTTCTAATGATGGATTCAACTTGCGATTAATGTTGTCGTCCTGAGCCACCAATAATGGCTAAAAGCTCTCTACCACTAAGACTTGTACTATGATTAACTCTAGAGGCAGGTCATTCTTTGTTGCTCTATGGTAGTGACAGATGACTAAAATGTCTTGCACAAAGTAGATTACTATGAAAACATTTTTATATAAAGAATAATACTGTACTAGACAAAAGGAGTAAGAATTAAAGATTTAACACCGATTCCAATAGTATTCGGAGTAAATGTTCCAATTAATCTTAAAATGTCATCAGATTGCAATTCATACATTTGTCATGCATAGTCTATTACGAATTAAATTTTGTATTTTAATTTGCTAACATAGCAAATTAATATCAAATTTAGTAATAACCCAAGAAAGCGGCTGAAATAACGTAATTTTAAGCATCGTAAAGGGAACCTGCCGAGCTTGCTGTGTTCCGCAATGTGCAGAAAGGACTAGTGTATTATAAATACACTTTTGCATCTATTTTTCTAGATAATTTACTTGCAAACATTGACACCAAATTTAACCCAACATTAGTTTGAAAGTGTTAGATGATTAAACATTTTTTGTAGTAGTGGCCTGCCAGCAGCCACCCAGGAAACAACGTTCAAAAAGTCCAAATGTGCAGAGGCTGGACTATAAGTGTTTAAGATAAAACTAGTTACTTTTCTAGTCACTGCTTCTAATTAATGACTGACAGCAACATGGAAAACTAGACAGGAGTCATTATTCTACAGTAAGAGTAGAAAGAGCAGTCATGCCTAATAAACTAGGCGGTAACATGAGGACATTGCATTAACAAAGTTGTTCTAATCCTTCACCACTGTAAATACAGCCTATGATGCTGAATTCTCTACAGTATCAGGTCAAGGACTGCTAAGTTGTGCATATTTCATGGTCAGTTTGTCATGAGTACAAGAGGGGGATGCTGATAATGCATTGTTAGTAATAAATCGCATTCTAACCATACTTGTTCAATAAAAGTGGCTCATAGCTCAAAAGAAGCTCATACTGATGAATGCTATTTGGGAAATTTTTGTACACTAATATGAACAAAATGAAGGGTTGCCTTTATTATAAATGTTTGATTTTTTTGTTTAATTCAGTATTTACAACTAAGTTTAATTTTAACGTTTAGGCAAATAGAGTAAAAGCAAATGTGTAAGTTTGATTTGAAGGTATCCAGTCCATCCAGTGGATGTTGATTCAGCATTGGCTGTTTCTTATTTCCAGTAAATTTAAGTTGGTTGAGATTTGTTGGGTTCCCAGCCATATTGGTGTCTTTAAATGAGCGTGAGGATGCTGCCGCTAGGGAAGCTGTCTGCTCTTGTCCCATCTCCCGTAAAGGTATTCCATATTTCGACTTTTACCCAGTTTTTCATTCCTCCATCCTTACCCATTAGCAGGATTGTTGGTCTTTTGTTACTGGTAATAAAACTGAGTACTCATAAGAGTTGTCCTCATGACCGTCGTCCTACCACCGTAAGCGGCGATGGGAAACGGCTCTGGTGAGGTTACGTATTGGCCATACACGCTTAACTCACGGTCACTTAATGGAGCGCCGCCCTGCTCCTTGTTCAAATTGCATTGTCCCTCTTATGGTCATTCATATCCTGACTTCCAGGACACGCGCGGGTCTTGTTTTCCGACCGTCCCTTGATAGAATTCTTGATGAATCTGATACTTTTGATATCATTTACCTTATGCATTTCTGTTCTCGTCTTGGCATCCTTGGTGATATTTAGTGCCCTCTGATTATTCCGCACATTTGATGGCACCAAACCGGGAAGGCTTTGTAGCACCTTTTGATAATTACTTATTTACTTGATTTGAAGGTCAGTTGATCCCATAGTTATGTTAGCTTGGAAATGGCTGAAGTTATATATTTAAGAAGAAAGCTATAATGAGGGCAATGAAAAATTATTGTAATAGAGCTGGAAGTACTACAGTGAAAAGGAACTGTGAAGTTGAAAAAGTTTATTTTAAGGTTTATTGGCTCTTAAAACTGTGTAAGAATTATAGCGACTTTACTATTGTAGGTTGGAATCAACAGTACAGACTAATAATTTATATAATACAGCACAATTCAGTTAGAATGCGAGAATAAATCAGCTAGCAGGTAGTTGACTGTGTGTGTCACAAGATATCTTGTAATTTAGGAAATGTTAAAACCAACAAATACATGTACAAAAGCCTTTAATATTATGCAACAAGTATAAGCAACATATTCTACAACAAGCACTGTAACAATCATTAGGTTCCATATTATAAATAATTCATTATATAAAGATTAACAGATCTATGCAGTCAACAATGTACTGTTAATCATACCACTTGTAATATTTTACTAGATATATAATATTGAAAAGAACATATTAAAAAAATAATCCTCAACACTAAGTTGTTCATTTGTATTACTGTACATGTAATACAATACAGAAATTATAACCCAAACTCCATATTTTGCACATTCATTATATAAAAATAAACCCAGCCACCAAAATATTAAAATATACCTCTAAGACAAAAATGATCAATCTCTGGCCTTCAACTTACATCATGGACCGCTGGGTGCGCAGGGGTTGTGGAAGGCGCATTCTGATGGCTAAATCATTGAAAATTGTAAGTGTGTACTGTGACCCTTTTACTGCCCCACCAACTTCATGAATCAGGTCTGCAACGTCTGGACAAATACCTTGACTTGTCATTTTTACGTCCTCAATTTTGCCATGGAAAACCTGAAAGTGATATCAATATGATTATGCTTAAAATTTAAAACTAGTAATTTTTGTTTGTATTAATGTAGCCGACATAAATGTCTGCTTTTTTTTCTATTCGCATATTAGACATTTGCTTAAAAGGAGCCTTATTTCATCTCTATTTCTTTGAAGACCCTAGTGCATCATCATCTTTCTCATACATACCTGTTCCATTGCAATTACTCTTGTCATTTACAAATTTCACTTAAATCCAGCTGTCTTATTTCAATTAACATTGCTACCATTAAGAAAATTTTGTGGTAATGAGTGGGATGGGTCTTTGATTCAGTGTGTTGTGCATGTGACACTGGAATCTTAAGAGACACTAGATGTATACTGTATAACAAATCCCATGATCATAACAAATATTTGAAATTTCCCTAGTCCAGCATCAGCAATGCAGACACCAAGAGAATTAAAATATGGAACATACTCCCTAATATTAAATACAATTATGCAATATTTAACTTTTTTTTTTTTTTTTGAGATATATACAAGAGTTGTTACATTCTTGTACAGCCACTAGTACGCGTAGCGTTTCGGGCAGGTCCCTGGAATACGATCCCCTGCCGCGAAGAATCGTTTTTTCATCCAAGTACACATTTTACTGTTGCGTTAAACAGAGGCTACAGTGTTAACAAAGTGTTAATTAAGGAATTGCGCCCAGTAAATCCTCCCCGGCCAGGATACGAACCCATGACATAGCGCTCGCGGAACACCAGGCGAGTGTCTTACCACTACACCACGGAGACTGTGGTGTAACTCATTAAGAGTTTGTTACATTAAGTAACAACTCATTAAAAACAAATATAATTTTAGATATGATATAGGGAAATAATGGTTTGGGTTGTGGATGAGTGGATTGGGCTGCTTGCTAGTAATATTAAGTTTAAAATTTTAACTATAGATTGGATAGGTAACTCGAGTGGATGGATTTAGTATGGGTCAGCAGGCTTGCTGCAGTTCCCTAATTCTTATGCTTCATATTTTTTAAACTAAAAAAGGAAAATATACAAATAAATCTGATGTACTTGTGTACATTCACATTTTACCTGCACAGAGATGTTCACAGTAGTATTATGAGCGACGCACTCGGGAATCACAACTGGTCGAGTAACAGTAAAGCGAGGCGTTTTATCATGAAGCCATGTATATGACGCCAGCTCGGTTTCCAGCTTACCCAGTCCTACAAGAAATTAAATTTTAGAACTTAAAATTATTTTATCATCCTATTTTATTAGTTGACATAAGGCATGCAGTTACACACAACAAATTTAACGGACAACAAAATGAATGAAACGTTTCTGGTGAAAAGGCATGTTGACTGCAGCTGTTCAAATTCTAAGTGGATTTTTATTTAATTAACTTTATTAGTTTTTACTGGCATTTTGTTTCTGAAGTGGGCTATTTTACAATAGATCCAAAATCAACAGACTACTAGATAATATTTCTGCTTAGCTTTGTGTTGCCATCTTTGAATTTGCACTACCAGCTGATGTAATATAAAATGTATATTCACACCCTACATCATTGTGTAACCAAAGTTTAACAAAATTCTAAAACTTCAGGAGATAATTCTTTATTGTTTATGTCCGAGAAATATAAAAATATTTCATCTTATGTACAATTATATGATTGTGAATGCATCCCCAGACACCTAACAGGAAAATAGCGTGTAGACTTTGTTAAGGCTATTAATATCGACACATGGAGAATAACTAGGAAACCTCTGTGTTCAAAAAGAGAAACTGATAAACACCTCCAGAGGATAATTCATATTCAAGTTGCAATTAATACATCAGACTGGGAATAGTAGCATCTAACAGCCTGATTGATCAGACTATCATCTGGGCTTCCTTTTCTTCTCATACCTTCAAATTCACTCTAAATATACTTTTTGTGGCTCCACCATAATTCTTTTGTTCAATATGAATAACCCACCTCTTCTGTACTCTACATTTTTCCATGGCATTTCCATTTATTACACTATCCTAAAACCCCTCAATTTTATAAATTGCTGCTACTCTTTAATTACAGTATTTATCTTTCATATTTGCATTAACACCAATGTCTCACAACCATACACATGGGGTAAGCACTCCACTCATTCATGCAAACCTCTGGCACTCCAAATTTATATTTTAACCAGGATTCACTTATTTTGCTAGAGGCATGGGAGAATCCTTTTGCCAATAGGAGGGACAAAGGAGGCACAGAATCACCCGTACCTGAGAGAGGACAAACTCCTTAGCCCCACAGCTTATGAAGGATGGAAACTAAGTTCCTTATTGAATGAAGCAGGAACTGAAATGCCCAAAGTGAAAGTGCTTGAAAGATATTCAGAAACAAGAAGTATGCAAAAGTAGAAAACTAAAACTTCAATACATGTGTGAAAGGATTAACAGTGTCCTTACACATCAGCAAACTTTACCTGGGAACCAGTCATCAGTAGGATTTATCAGTGTGTAGCCATTGGAAAGCTGAACAATCTGCTGAGAGGAAGAGTCACTTTTCTCCGAGGGAAATTCTAAGTATCTGCGACCAATGCTTGCAATCAGTTTTTCTACTGAAATGTCTTCATTGGCATCACTAAGATTCATTGTCAGTGCTGGTATGCTAGCTGTGGCTTTGCTCTGGATACTCTGTCCCAAATAAAAATTAAATAATATATTAATATTTTGTCTAAAAGGAACTGCATCTACACCTAAAAGAAAATATAATTGTGAATATACCTGTAAAAAGAGAATCCTACCTTGTTACTAGTATTGAAAATGGTAATACTTTGTGACTGCATTAATTTGTAAATATTAGTTTATTTTGCATTTTTGTGTGAGGGGAATAGTAGTATAGTAGTTAGTCATAGTCACATTTTTACAGTCACTCCTATGACTAGGAGTTAAGTCATAGTCACATTTTATACTCTGTCCCGTCCATTTTGTCAATAGGTGGCAACAATTATAATTTTCCAAGATAGCCTCGAACAGCAAGAGGCTTTTCAGTGCAATCATTCCTTTTATCATATTTTATCTACAAGACTCAAAATATATTACGTACACTACAAGTCTTATGACAAAAACTTAATACAGTACAGGTATGTACTGTATAGTACACCACTGACCTCTACAGAATATTTATGACCCCTTATATACTGTATTAGTATTATTTTCATAGTAGAAATTAATACAGTACAGCATACTGTGCAGTATGGCTCTGGTTTTGGTATCAAATATCCACAGAAATCCTGCTACACTATTCACATAAAAACGATAAATTTGTCCAATAAATATTATAGCAAGATGTTGTGATGATTGTCCACCACATCGGCTAGATCTGTTCGAGAGGAGTTGCCTTTTATGCCAATAGGAATGATTCTTATCCTTTGAAGTTTTGTAAATTATTATTATTTAATTCTCTTAATGACAGGCACAAGTTGCAACTGTACTTACTGTACAAGCTGGTACTACTTTTGTTGATGTCAGTTGATTCCTGGATGGAGCAGTGAATGTATCAATTGCATGAGTTATGTACTTCTGTTAGCTCTGGCAGAATCCAAGTACAGTAGTATTACAGAGCAGCTGCATATTTGATACTGTAAATGTAGTTCTTATCACATTATATATCCCTGATGTGCACCTATATTTCAAAAGAAACAAGCAGTGTTGGAATTCTTTCTTGCTAGTATATTGTATTGCCTGAATTTACCTAAATTACCCAAGTGTATAGTAATAGGCTCCCTTGTACTCTTGTCTTGTATGGTCTGGGTTATTTCAGTTTGTTCTAGGATGAAAATAAACACACTGGAGTGATTTTGTAATATACAGTATAGTAATGGAATAAGCTTTGATATTAAATACTGGCAGGCCATGCTCTGCAGTTTTGGATAATGCTGATTTAATGGTACATGGTAATACACTACATAATACAAAATCACTATACCTACCATCAAACTAAAGAAATTCTTTCTCATATCTTTTTGTATCATCCAAGTGTTCAACTCCAAATGCCAGTCCAGATAATGTATGAGCTTGCTGCACAGTAGATGTTCCATTATGTCCACTACGTGGACAGAATGATTATACCAACTGAAATGGTAAAAACACTGTTCATGTAGGAGTCCATTGTAGTACACATCTCAGCAATAATTACCTTATCTCCCTGAAGAGCTAGTTTCATCTGTTGCTTGTCTGTTCTAACCAACAATGTACAATGATGATAAGCTGACTGATGACCCAGCTTTGCTGCTGTCCCAGACACCTAGAAAGGAAATATTTGCATGAAGTATAACTACAGTAGCTTAAATAATGTAGGAAATTGGTGCATAAGTGTTATTACTGCTACTTAATGAGACTGAATATAAATAACAGCAACAAAGCCAGGACTAAGGTTCATTCCTGGCTTTATTGCTGTTAAGACTTCTCTTTCACAGTACATACTCAAATGCTCTAATCTTCCTAACAAACATGATCTGACATAAGCCTACCCCCTTTTTCTTTCTCCTCTTATTCTTACCTATCCCATTCTTCCTTCATCCCATTATTACACCTATCCTATTCTTACCTTTCGCCTTATTATTACCTTCTCTTACCTGCTCCTCACCTTACTCTTGCCTTAATGCCTGTGCCTCCCTCGCTCCTATTTATGAGGGAAGCCTGTGCCACCTCTTGGGTGGCTTAATCTTCATCGATCGATTTATCTCGCTCCCATTACGGGCTATTCATGGCTATGTCATTTCTTAGGTGGCTTAATCTTCATCAATCTCGTTCCCATTATGGGCTATTCATGCCCGTGCCACCTTTTAGGTGGCTTAATCTTCATCAATCAATTAATGTCACTCCCATCACAATTGACTTCATAATGGTCCAGGACAGGCCAAAATGTTATCATCTCTTGATCTTCTAGTGTGTGGTTTGGTCATCATTTGGAACTAATAATCAGAGATATCAAATCTTGGCAATTACTGTAGAAGGATTTATAAATACATAGGACCCAATTCCTTCAAATTTTGTAGAGAAAATCTAATATGGGTTGACAACTTATGACATGGGAGTGGATTACTAAATGTATTGTACTTGAATAGAGGCTGGGAGAAGTATAAAATTTCAGATGGGCAGCAGATTGCTGTCTCTGAAATCTTCTTTATTGGAACCGTCTACATAGTGCAGTGGTAGAATCACGCTCATGGGGGTCAAGAGTTCGAGTCTCCTAGTTCCCAAGTGAATGATATGTCATATGACTTGGCCAGTTTCTCCCAGATGAAACAAAATACATTACATGATGTAAACTATCATCTAAGGGCTAATTCACATGGTAGTAGATAATATAGTGATTATTCAAAGACTGAAATACAGTTCCTTACAGATAAATGATAATTTTGGGGGATAATGGGTTGTTGCTTCCATCAGGCTACAGAAGAAGTGGGTGCAACATGGGATAAAAGTCAGACATACTGTACCTTGAGGTCATGACCAACAATGACATCATCTCGGTGGTTGGCAGAGGCCTGAATACCAAAGTCCTCCTGCAGCGCCCGACAGATCACAGCCAGGTTTTCCTTTCGGTTGTACCTGTCAGGGAAACCAGGAATTAGAATGCACATTTAGTCAGCCACAATGAAAAGATAGAAATATTATGTGATATTAAAAATTAAAATCCTGATCATATCATGTAAATCATATGAAATATTCTTAAAAATAAAATTACCTTGTTATTTCTCTGTGGGTTGAAGTGTGGGGTGTAAGTTGGGTGAGCTTGGCAGCATGAGTGTGATGAAGATTAGGGAAGGTGGGTTTGTGAGGTAAGTTGGTGTAGAAGGTGGGTAGGTGTGGGTGAGTGAGGTTGGTGTCAGAAGATGTGGGATGGTTATTGGGGGGGGGGGGGGGAATTTGGTGGAAATTTTAGTTGAGTAGGGTGATAGCCTCTGTCTACTACAAAGTAAAAGATCAGTGTTTTATGCTTCAAGTCAATATAATGAACAGTTCCTCACAAAGACACACAACTTCTGAATCACTTTTAAATACATGGATGGTAAAATACTAAAAAAACTGTTCATAACTTTTGTGAGACAAAATTGGAATATGCAGCAGTTGTATGGTTCCCATATCTCTAGAAGCACATTAACAAATTGGAAAAGCTGCGAAGGCATGATACAAAATGGCTTACGGAACTGAAAAACACGAGTTATTAAGAGTCATTACATTATATATTGTACAGTATTGTGAAATTTCCAGGAGCAGTCAGCCATATTACTCTCAATTTCCTGTATAGTGACTGATTTTGAATTAATATCGATTATGATAAAGTCAAGGAAATGTAATTATTCATCATTAGTTTTGCATCATCATGAACATATATTGCTCAGGTAAATTCAGGTAAATATAATATATGAATAAACCCTTTAAGATAATTTGTTCTTCAAACTGATCCCTCTAAAATCCTGGATTCATTTCCTTATGCAAAGAGTACTGTACTTACTAATGATTCAAACTTGACAAATAATTTTTGTTTAATATGGTTATAGTTTCTTAACTGCAAACATTTACTGTATTATAATAATTGTTGACAAGAGATAAGTTATCCTTGTCTGATAAACTCGTGAATGGATGGTGGCAATACTATCTTAATTTACTTGAATTTAATTTATTTATCTCTATATATACTCTAACTCATCATATAAAACTCTTTGTACTCACTATATTCATCACTCCTCTACCCCTTTTTTCTTTCCAAGTCTTCCCTGCATCCCATTTTCCCACTTTCTGAACTCTCCCTTTCATGGACGTCACTTTACTCTTCCTCACTCTTCATCCCTCTAAGCTATTCTGCATCTCACTATTTTTATCTAATCGTTACAATGGTGCCTCTCTCTATTTATAATTACCGATTTGTTACAGAAGAGAGGGAGAGAGAGGGATGGGAAGTGAAGAGGCAAAGACAGAGAGGAGAGAGAGAGAATGGGTGGGTAAACAGGCAAAGATAAGAGAGGAGAGAGAGAATAGGTGGGTAAACAGGCAAAGATAAGAGAGGAGAGTGAGAATGGGTGGGTAAACAGGCAAAGATAGGAGAGGAGAGAATGGGTGGGTAAACACACAAAAACTGGGGGCACGTGTACACTTGGCTCTTCTACCTGGGATATAAATAATGTAGGTACAAACTCATTCTGTGTAGCAACTGCCACACAATTGGCTTGTTAGCGCTCATCCTTGCTGGGGGTCCAAGGGGAGCGAGCTACCTCGCTGACGCCAGTCTACTGTAATTGGATAGCTTAAAATACTACTAATGGGTCTGTTTAATGCCTGCTGGTCTAAACAATTTTGTTTAAAGTGCCATACAAATAAGAGTTAATATTACGCGCATTTAACAAATCTCGAAACTAATAAATAATTCCCCAAATTATTTTTGGAATTGTATAAGCTTTATTACCTATACAAGACGCAGGTGTGTAACGCAACTCTTACTAATAAACTACACAACCTTAATAAATACATTCCCACACAACTAGCACAAATACACAATTCACACAAATACAAAAAAGCACAATTACTACATAACTTGCACTAATGCATACACACACAGCTTGCAAAATAGGTCAAGGAGTCGGAGATGGGTTCCAGGCAGAACCCATCTCCGTGGAGGGTACGGTCTGGCTGCACCAAGCCAAGCTTCACCCCTCGCCCCACCCACACCCACACACACACACTAAAGGCTCTCTAAGCCAGACTTCCACAAACTTGATTACCTAATCAACTGTATTTTACTAGAACACGCGTGATATAGGACCATATAAACGTAAGAAAAAATAAAAGTCTTTACTATCTTAGCTTTTCAAGCACGATACTGTCGACGGATACGTGGCCTGAGTCACGTCAGCGTACCAGAACCATGTCAAAATGATTTGCAAATCAACTTGCATAAACAACCTTTGTGTATGCGTCCAGTCACCTATAATAAACTCCCCTAGCAACAGCACCGAGAACTCTAGGCGAGACAGAACCAAGCCAAGCTTCACGTGAAGCATCCTGATCTGAATATAAATTTATGACTACTGGTTTCTTAGCTCCCCATCCCCCCCCCCACTTAAATCCCAGCAGCCCACCTCCACCTTGCTCCCTTACCTAGCAGCCCATCCCATTTCTAATTCCTCCACCCAGCTGCTCCTATCATCTCAGTACCACCCATCTCCCTCATAATCCACCTCGTTAAGGCTGTTCCTATGACGGGCTATTCATGCCCGTGCCACCTCTTCGTGGCTTAATCTTTATTATCATTCAATCAATCTGTTCCTAGCCACTCACTTACGGGCTATTCATGCCCGTGCCACCTCTTGGGTGGTTTAATCTTTATCAATCAATCAATTCCTAGCCATTTAGCAGCCCATCTCACAATCCTACCTCACGTCGTCCCAGCTCCTAACCTCTCAATGCAGTCCGTCCCCTTCCTAACCCACCCACCTAGCCTCTCAAAGCAGCACGCTCACTCCTAAATCACATTACCCTGGCCTCTTAGTGCAGTTCATCTCAACCCTCCCACCCTTTCAGAAGCCCATCCCCATCCTAACCCAGGTCCCTAGGATCAGAGCAGCCCTTGGCCCGCATCCACCAAGATATCAAGATTCGTACCCAAAAGCAACGTTCTTACAATAGCAAAGTTCACGTTTCTAGTAGCAACCAAACCCTAACCGCATACCCATTTTACTATACTGTATACAAAACTGAATTAAAACCCTCATAATTAGGCTTTGTACAGTCTGATGAAACATTTGTATAAAAAATCCTAAACTTATTTATAACAAAATTAAAGCTTAATTTATATCAAGGAACCTCATTTCAGATATTTATGTGAGGATATCACCACGCATTTTAGTTACTTGATGTGTCTTACTGGCTTTATAAGCCAGTAAGGATATTTAATCAGCCTTAAGAAATCTTGACCTAGCTAGAATTAACATTACTTCGTACTATGCATTTGTCTCAACAAACAAACTGATATGCGCTAAAACACAGTAAGATGCTCATATTCTTGGGCAAGAATAATACAGGGGCCCCCTGTATAGATTATTAATAGCCCGTGAACAGTTGCCAACTCCATACCTCAAGCGTACAATGACTTTTAGGGTCACTGACCACGGGTCTCATTTTACACCAGAACATCAAGTTTTGTTATAGTAAGCTTATTACATTTACAAATTAGACAAAAATAATGAAAACTAAGGAAGGAATATATTTTAAAATATTTGTTGAAATTAATCGTCGACCGTTTATTAGTTAATATTATATGATTTGTTAATTTGCAATATTCAGTTATGTTGAATTTCCCAAGATGATCAGCCAATTCTCTCGTGTAGTCTGTCTCTTAGCTTCTAAAAAATATTCATGACCGCCTTTTCCCATCTTGAAAAGATATAGTTACACTACGACTGATATCCTGTACTATAACGTATACAATCTGTAAATGAACTTAAAATTTAAATTGCCTTTTATCATTCATTTCTTACATGTTCAATATTTTAACCTTGCACTGTGTCACATGTCTGTTGGACATATTCATAAGCACTTAGGATATAGTTTTACATTTAAACGCCAAGCCTGTTAGCTTTGCGAGAAGAGTTGACGGATCATGGGGTTTAAGTGATATTAGTATAATAATATATATTATTTATATATATATATATATATATATATATATATATATATATATATATATGTCGTACCTAGTAGCCAAAACGCACTTCTCAGCCTACTATGCAAGGCCCGATTTGCCTAATAAACCAAGTTTTCATGAATTAATTGTTTTTCGACTACCTAACCTACCTAACCTAACCTAACCTAACTTTTTCGGCTACCAAACCTAACCTAACCTATAAAGATAGGTTAGGTTAGGTTAGGTAGGGTTGGTTAGGTTCGGTCATATATCTACATTAATTTTAACTCCAATAAAGAAAAATTGACCTCATACATAATGAAAAGGGTAGATTTATTATTTCATAAGAAAAAAATTAAAGAAAATATATTAATTCAGGAAAACTTGGCCTATTAGGCAAATCGGGCCATGAATAGTAGGCCAAAAAGTGCGTTCTGGCTACTAGGTACGACATATATATATATATATATATATATATATATGTCGTACCTAGTAGCCAGAACTCACTTCTCAGCCTACTATTCAAGGCCCGATTTGCCTAATAAGCCAAGTTTTCCTGAATTAATATATTTACTATAATTTTTTCTTATGAAATGATAAAGCAGCCCTTTTCTCTATGTATGAGGTAATTTTTTTTTTTATTGGAGTTAAAATTAACGTAGATATATGACCGAACCTAACCAACCCTACCTAACCTAACCTAACCTATATATATAGGTAAGGTTAGGTTAGGTAGCCAAAAAAAGCTAGGTTAGGTTAGGTAGGTTAGGTAGACGAAAAAACATTAATTCATGAAAACTTGGCTTATTAGGCAAATCGGGCCTTGAATAGTAGGCTGAGAAGTGCGTTCTGGCTATTAGGTACGACATATATATATATATATATATATATATATATATATATATATATATATATATATATATATATA